ACATCACATCACATCACATCACATCACATTACATACATGCATGCATGCATATATGCTGTATATAATATATAGTTTATATATATATATAGATATAGATATAGATATAGATATATATATATATAAATACAATACATACAATCAGACACTCGATCAGGCCCATGATCATCAAAACCCACACCTCTCGAAGACTTGTTGGGCCGTGCTTTGAGGTACCCTTCCATCGGCCTCTTGTCCAGCTTCTTGGATCGCTCGTGGTGCGCGTCGTGGCAGTAGCCACAGTTGGCTCCCTCTGCGCAGTCGCCTAGGAGTACGGAGCGTAGTGCAGTCTAGCAGACTCGGAAAGCTCCCTGCTCTTACACTCATCTTGAGCATCTCAAGCTTGTTGCGAGCCTGGACGCGTTGATCGCCAAGCATCGGTAGTCCCGAACGAATCACCACTGGTTACTTCCAAATCTTCATCCAAACTTGATGTGGCCGGTCCAACTCACACATGCATTTTGCCAAGAAAACCTCGCCGCAATTTGCCCCAGGCAGGTAAGCCCTTGCGAAAAAAGGTGAAATCCTCTAGGTATTAGGCCCATGGCCGCCCGAAATGCTCTCAGGCAGTTTCCAGATCTGAGCTCCCCTAAATCCCACAATCCGACAGCCTGAAGCCCAATCCCTTAAAGAACAAGACCCTAGAACCTCAGATCCTGAACCCCAAATCCCTCAAATCCCGAAAGCACTTCGAAGCCCAAGCTGCCCTTTTGAAGGTAAATGCAGGGCCGTCGACACAATTCGGGATGCCCAAGGCTCCCCTGCCGCGGTCCGCACCATTTATCGGGATGTCCGACTCCAAAACAAATCTCCCCATGCTTCCGGGTTCGGGGTTGAGGACCCTAGGGCATGTGGCTGTGAGGGATCACGGGCTCGCTGATACTCCTGCCTCTCACAAGTGATGATCCCCAAGAGTGCAAGACGGAGGATGGATTTCAGCATAGCAATTAGACTCATTAGACTGTCTTTTTGTGATGAAGCTTCCCTCACACGGAACCCCTTTCTCGAGGCTGTGGCTTTTGATCTTGTTGCAGGCTTGATTCTTGGCTTCAAACAAACGACCATTGCACTTAACATTGCCTCCACTTTTTCGGTTCGCTCGCTCCAACTCAACAGGCCCCATCACAAGTTTTCGGGTAGTTCTCTCAATTACGGTCCCTTTTGGGGGGTCCTTTTCATAAAGTTGCCGTGCTGTTTCGGCGGCCTAAAAATGGGACCCTTATGTAGAGAACTACCCATATCTGTGTACCAGATACCCTGCGTGAATGCCTGGCTGGTGGCTTTGTTCTCCTCCTCTTGAACCTGAGCAGACGGATGCTTGACAGTGACCAAACAGCTTTATCAAGCGTTAGCAAGACTCGAGACAGCAGAACTGATACCAGTTACCAGGTCATGCTTGGCCTTGGCCTTGGCCTTCGGCTTGGCTTGGTTTGGCTTAGGCAGGCTTGGCTTGGCCTCAACGGGTGTAGGGGTGTCACTTACTGTCCAAGGGTACAACAGCGGGTGGATTGGGTTTGCTGTTACGGCTGCACACTAGAGATACGTGTGCACCAGGGGAGGTGCACAATCTCAGACATGGCTTGGCTTGGTCGGTTTGGTCCAGGCTGGCTAGGCTTGGCTGAAACTGTCTTGGCTTGGCCGGGCTTCAGCGAGCGAGGGTGAGGGGTTGGGGGCAGTAGCAGAAACCAAAGTGGTAGTTGTCGTATTTGTCGTAGTAGTCGCAGTAGTAGTAG